TGTGTGTGTGCTCGTGTGTTAGAGTGATGCGTGTGGGATATCCAGGGTGATCCAGTGTATGTGAACAGTGAGATGTTTGGGCGCTGAGGTCGCCATAGCCAATTGGGAGTGAACTCGTATCTGAAAACCATATCTCTGAGTTTTGAGTGGGCGCATGTCGCCAGTATGCTGCGTTACTGTTTACATGTGTGAAAAGTGTGTTTGAAAACGAGTCTGATTGCACTTTGTTTAATAATAATAATAATAATAATAATAATAATAATAATAATAATATTATAATAAATTTAATAATAATAATAATAATATTATAATAAATTTAATAATAATAATAATAATAAATGGACAGCCTGGAGATCACCCATCTTCCCCCATACGCTTTTCACCCTCATCATGAATGTATACAGGCTATGTGTCGAGTCACTCCAGTCCGGTGCCGTTATATCCGAGTACATTGTATTCAGAGGAAGAGGGTGGTAATCAAATCAGGGTACTCATCTGACCAAATATTGGACAGCCTGGAGGTCACTGGTCAATTTTGGAGAGCCGTGAGATAAGTTCAGATAACTGTTCAAGTTTCGTTGTTAGATGCTTATTGTGGTAACATGCATATGAAAGTTATTGGAGTTTGAACTTCAACATTTGTGTAACTTTCTGACTGAATTTACATTGCAAGTTGTGGAGGTTTGTACAGTTTTGGATGTAGCAGGTTTCATAGCAATCCGGCCTGTTGTGGCGAGTTCGGAAGTGCTTACTAGTAGGGTGTGTCTTTCCTCAGTGGTGTGGTGAGAGCAGTGACAACGGCGGGAAGGGTGAGGCAAGCGAAGCAGAACCAATGGCACGCATAAACGCAACTACTCGGGAGGGAGGAATCCTTGGGCCAGCGGCAGCACATCTACTCCTTAATGGATTTGGTTGGTCGGTACCACAAGCAGGAGGTAAGAGGGGGTGGCCTTTTGTCACAATGAAACCTGTTAGCAGAAGCAGTGGAGACAAGCGTGACCGTGAAACGAAGGTGGGAGCGGACGAGAATGAAGCAGAAGGCAGCAACAGTAATGCCAGTAGCGGTAGCCAAGTTTCGCCCTGGCAGTGGCTTCCCAGCCGTAGATCTGATCAAGAGGGATTTGGCAGCCCTTCGGGAACCCATAGGTCTAGTCCGATCAGCGGTCACAAGCGACCATGGCGATTGAATGGCAGTGTTCTGCAGACATGGAAAGCGCATTCAGGTCGCCTTCATGCCCTCGTAGCAGGAGAAGAAGAGCAAATCCTGCTCACAGCAGGTCATGGCGACCACGGTGCAGAAGCTGCCAGGGTCTGGAGTCTAGCAACAAAAGAGTGTGTTGCCGAGTACCTTGGGCACACAGAGGTATGTCTATTGGGAGCCAAGCTGTCTGACCACTTGTCGACGTTGTCGTTATCCTCATGTGATGGTGATTACCTACTATCTAGAAATTAAATTCATTCTATCTATTCGAGGAGTTTCCCACATACAGTGGAGTTTCCTATTTCTAGTCTCCTAGAAAGTAAGGCAACGAAAGTACCTTATGCGAAAACAATGTGCACTCTTGCACCTCATGTCACCATGAGGACTGGACCATATCATCACAATTGGTTGTTTGACTACCTTGATGGCTAGGAAGCCTAGGAGGCTACAACTCAAAAGAAGTCTCTAATTCGCGTATTTTGGTAGTTCAGAGCTATATTACTGCTATCTTCTAACTTCATGCTTGATAATAATGGCGAACGTATCTAGTTGCAGGTTTTTTTTTCTTTTTTTTTTCCAAACAACACGTGCCCCATCTATTCTGGGGGGCCATCAGTCCGGTTGCTCATCACCGACAAACATGTTTGTACATGAAAAAAAGCAGCAAGAAAGAGACATAGATGAGACAGACAAGGCAACGTTACAGCCAGCCTTGCAGCTCTAGCCACTTACACAAGGGGGCGGGGGGGGGGGGKGCCTGGTAGGGGGGGCTGCTTCGGCCGTTCTCCCCCCGAACCATAACTCATTTGCGGGGATTCGCTTGCTGGCCGGGAAGCTTACTGGCAGCACCCAGACACGCAGCGGGTGGATCCTGTAGACGTCGAGGAGCGGGGGAGATCTGCCTGGTAGCCTCACAGGCCACTCAGAGTCCAACCCTCACTTATGTGTTCCTTGAACTTCCTTCCTGTAATAGATTCCCTACTTTCTGTTAACCACTACCATCCTCCCCTTGTATCATGCTTCGTATCATGCTCCATATCCTTGGTCCTTCTCTAAATTGGCACCCCCTTTCCAATTGTCACGTGGTATGTCTTGCTTGACTGGCATGCTATATGCCAATACCCTCCTGCCATCTATCCACAATTCCAGTGTGCCCGTACTGCTCTCCAACTCTCATAGTCACCTGTAGTCTATATACAACACCCCGGCCATTTCCCTTTGGTTTTGCTCCCTTCCCGCCCTCAGCCCCTGCCCTCCTACTCTTACTCCTACTCCTCCTACCTTATCTTATTCCCTAACCTGGTTGTATCTATGCTGCAGCTATCCTTTCCCTATCTATTCCCACTTGCCCTCCAGGTAACTATGTGACACATCAGTTTCCGCTTGACATGTCCATCGTAGCAGCAGAGGTCCAAACGAAATGCGGCCAGTCTGAGGGTCCGGAGTCAACAGCTGCAGGTAGGGGCTCCATCTCTTCCAAAAACGGTCCCTCCTCCCTTCTCCTGTTTGTTCACAGCAACGGAAATCTGCCTGGAGAGCCACTCGAATATTTTCCAGCACTCATCCCTGATATACCTGCAGGGTGGGGGCGGTTCCTTGTCTGCACCGCTCATTCCTCAGGGTCCAGATGGCCCACAGTATTGCTGCTCTCACAATTTCCATTACCAGCAGATCCTCAGGTTGTGAACTCTTGGCCCTTATTAATGCTCCCATAAGAACGACCACTTCATCCGTTTCCGTCACTTCTATCAGGGTATGCTCTACCATCTCCTGCGCCCACCAGTTCCAGAATGCTCGGACCACAGGGCATCGCACGAACAGATGAGGTATGGTCTCCACCTGTCCACATTCCGCCGCGCATCTTTGCTCCTTTTGACAGCTTCTGGTTGCTAGCCATTGCACTGTCGGGATGGCCAGGTGATAGATTTGCCACAACGGGGCCACATCCGGTAAGGCTGCCATGAGAGCACATTGTGCATTCCCCGTGGGCTGTGTCCATCTTTCATGGTAGACGTTGGGGAGCCAATCTTAGCCCACCGATTCTTGAGCTCCCCGCAAATGTCACATGGTTCCAACAAGGAGTTGTAACTATTCTTGGTCATCAGCTGCTGCAGCGGGATTGTTTTCTTGTGTGTCTTTGAGGCGGCCACTCCCAGTCCCGCGGGTCCCAGCTTAAGTCTCGCTTCGGTGCGCCACCCTGTATGGGCAGTATTAACCTTGTTCCTTACTCCCTCCCTGACATACCGCCACAGTTTCCACACCACTCCTCGTCAACCGTCTTTGGACGGGTTGTTGTTGCGGCGCTAACATCTGTAGGGGTTCGCCTATCCCCTCATATCCCGACTTAACGTGCCATGATGTGCCTTCCAACCAGTTGTCTGGGAGGATCTGTTCCACTCGGTACACCATAGCTGGCCTGGGAACTCCTTTAATTCGCACCCATTCCCCTGGCATTACCTCATCCTGCTTCAACAGATCAATCCATTGCGAGGAGATGGCCTCTTTCAGCTCTCTCACCCTTTGCATTCTCCTTGCCTTCCCAGCGAGCACGGTCATCATCTCGCTGTCTGTGCACCAGTCCCTGCGGTCCTCATCACAAAGGCCCCACTTTAAGACCCCTCGCTTCGCCGTCGTCATCACAAATAAGCCTGTTGTCTCTGCGGAGGCCGGTGGCCGGTATCTCAACCACACTTTCTTCCACAATGCCAGCTTGGTAGACCACACAGCACGTCTTCGGACATGGCATATCAATGGGCTGCTCAGAAGGCACAGTGCCACCACTTCCTCTGGTGTTTGCAGTGCGTATGCCAAGCGGGCTCGAGTTAATTCTTGCCAAGTTCCCCACATCGTGCCCAGCAGGACCCAGATTAGCTGGCGAAGTTGGAGTGCTATAATCTCAAGCTTTGGATCCAGCACTGCAGTTTTTGTAGTGTGTTCTTTTCTTTTTGTCCAATCTCTGGCAATCAGAAAAGAAAACAAATCTTTGTTATCTACTGGAAACCAGGTTCAATGCACCTGACAACATTTATCCCACTCCAACACTTCTATCCATTACGGCAAGAGAACGCGAGGGTCCATTGTCCCTTACAACACTTAACCCACTCCAAGGTTTCTCTCCATTACAGTTGAGAGAACCTGAGACGGTGGCATCGCTTGTTGCTCTGGCCTGTTCCTCTCAGCCCTGGCTTGCGCTGTCAGATGCCACTCTGCAGAACATTTAAACTTAGTTGGTTGGGGGGGAAGGAAGTCGAGAATAGGGGGGCAGGAGGCCACGAAGTGGGGAAAAGGTGGAGATTGGGATAGCGGGGGGTGGAGGAGGTCGAGATTGGGGGTGGAATAAGGTGGAGAACAGGTGGAGATTGGGGAAGCGGGGCAGGAGGTAGGGAATGGGGGGGCACGAGGCCATGAAATGGGGAAAAGGTGGAGACTGGGGAAGCGGGGGGTTGAAGCAGGTGAAGATTGTTGGGGGAGGGGTGAAGGAGGTCAAGATTGGGGAAGCGGGGGGGTGAAGAAGGTCAAGATTGGTGGGGGAGGGGTGAAGAAGGTCAAAATTGGGAGTGGAATAACGTGGAGAACAGGTGGAGATTGTGGAAGCAGGGGAGGAGGTCGAGAATGGAGGGGCAGGAGGCCATGAAGTGCGGAAAAGGTGGAGATTGGGGAAGTTGGGAAGGAGGTCGAGAATGGAGGGGCAGGAGGCCACGAAGTGCGGAAAAGGTGGAGATTGGGGAAGCGGGGGGGTGAAGGAGGTCAAGATTGGTGGGGGAGAGGTGAAGGAGGTCAAGATTGGGGGTGGAATAAGGTGGAGAACAGGTGGAGACTGGGGAAGCAGGGTAGGAGGTCGAGAATGGGGGGGCAGGAGGCCACGAAGTGGGGAGAAGGTGGAGACTGGGGAAGCCAGGGGGTGAAGCAGGTCAAGATTGTTGGGGGAGGGGTGAAGGAGGTCAAGATTGGGGGTGGAGTAAGGAGGAGAACAGGTGGAGATAGGGAAGCAGGGGAGGAGGTCGAGAATGGGGGAGCAGGAGGCCACAAAGTGGGTAAAAGGTGGAGATTGGGGAACGGGGGGGGGTGAAGGAGGTCAAGATTAGTGGGGAAGGGGTGAAGGAGGTCAAGATTGGGGATGGAATAAGGTGGAGAACAGGGCTGGGGAAGGAGGTGGAGACTCGGGGAAGAGGAGGTTGAGATTGGGCAGGGTGAGGTGATAATAGGGGAGGGAGGGCGTCATGATGCGGGAGGAGGTTGTGGCTGGGGGAGGAAGGGAGTCTGTATTGGGAGGAAGGGGGTCGACATTGGTGGAGGTCTCTATTGGGGGAAAGGAGGTTTTTATTGGGGAAAAGCCTGGCGGAGCATTCAAAGTCGAATGCCCAACCAGGGTGCCCTCACCTGCCAAACAAGAGTGGATCTCGGCCACTAATCTTGTGTGATCAGCGCTCTGATCTGCTACCCCCCAAAAGAAAGAATTGTAGGCCAGTAGGGGCCCTCAACTTTTTTGGGGTGCAGGGCAGTGTGAGGACCTCCCAGCAGCCATCCCACTTGAGATGTTTTTGGGGCACAGCCGCACAGGCCAATGCAGGCCCGGATTTTTGTTTTTGAGGGGCCAGTATCTTATACATACTTTTATATGCAATGCCCGCAGCATGGTGATTCAAGGACCTGGTTGTGGCCAAGGGACAGCTGATTCAGGCACAAAACATTTGACCCCCAAACCCTAATTTCAGTTTCAGGCCCGTTAGTCAGGGGCTGAAAATGGGGGGTCCCCGTTAGCCAAAAGTGGGATTCAGGCCTGTACACCTTATCTGTTTCTCAGATTCTTCGATATCTTTGCTGTATTGTACAGAACACCTGTCTGAACTCTGTAGATGACACGGTTTGGGACCAGACTGTTGGCATTGACCAATTCTCAATGGGGATTGATGCGGGCCCAGAAATTGCCGATCTGATTGCTCTATTGGAATGGAGTGTGGCTTGCTCATGACCTTCATCAGCTCGATCTCAAGCCGCTCAACGATTTGTTTAACAAATATTGCCTCGTTGGCAATGTTCTTTTGTGGGCAGCAGTTCACTATAGCCTTTGACTGACGGGAACTACAGCGCCAGATGGCTCCTGTATCTTCTTAGGTATACACCTATGGGACCACTGTGATGGCTCACCTCACATTAGCATCTTTCTTTGATAGAGCAGCTGCCTGGGACTTCCTGCCTGGGACTTCCTTGTCCCAGGCAGCTGGCTGGAACTTCCTCGTCACTCGTTATCCAATTGCAACCTCCAACTTCAGAACGTCCCTTCCCATCAAGCGGCTGGTGTGTTCACTGGGCAACTGACCAGGCTTGAACTCGTCACCATAACAATTGTGGGGACTTCCAGACTGTAGCAACAACGCTTTACTCGGTGTGTGCCGTCTCATCTGCATCTGCCATTTGTCTCTTCTAAGGGGCGGACATGCTACATTCGCTCTTTCCCGGGACACTATCCTCTAGATGTGACATGTCTCGCTCAGTGGTTCTGATGTATAATGCTACAACGAGCCCTCCGTCATCCACTTTCTTCTTTGTCCCTTATCTTCCCCTGCTTGCTCAACGGCTGGAGAAATAGCTGTACTTTCCTCTGCTGCTAAGATTCCATGAGTAGATGCCTGTGCCTGAACATAATCTATTTTATATCTGAGAACACATGCAAAGATGTTTGACGGTTTTGTAACCATATTTTCTGCAGGGGGCACAACCGGGGTTTCTCTGCTACTCACAACACTGTGGTTACCCCTCTGGTTTCCTTTGATGGCCAGTCGACCATGTTCTCACTACTTGTGCAGACAGCAGTGCAGCCTCCATCGAGTCTTCCCCACTCTCGTCATGCGTCCCAAATCCTTGCTCACTTGACCCCCCTCTCCCCTCTTTCCGCAATCAATCTCCTCGAAGATCTGGTATGCAAACTGACTCTCCTGTTCCCACCATCCCGTCCCCCTTTAAGCCCCATGTATACCCCTCTTCCCCCCTCTTGCAGAAAAACCACACCGAGGGGGAAGCGGAAAAAAATAAAAATTCCTGGAGTTCTAGTCACGCAGGCGGCCGTGCGACCTGCACAGGTGCCGGAGCTGGGATTCACGGCCAGGCACACCTGGTAGCAGCCTATAGCTGTCTTCTCTTTTCTGCATTTGTTTTGGCATGATGTCTGCTCCTTACTTCATTTGTTTTTGCCTATGTGTACCTAGCATGTGCACCAAATGTATGCAGTTGGCGAATTTCTTGAACTCTTACACCTGTTTTGCTCATTAACGTTGATCCCTTTTCCTTCTGTTGGGACAACTTGGCAGGCAGTTAAAGGATTATTCATTTGGCCCGGCAGTGATCTGATAGCGTCATGTGATGGCTCGCTCCATCTCTGGCGCATGGGAACAGGTGCTTCTGCGGCCATCTTCAAGGAACCTGCAAGGTCTGGGGCATTGCACCTGGCAGTTGGAAATTTTGAAGACGGAGATGCGGGAGGTGGAATTAGCGGTGGCTCTGTGGGGGCAGCCTCTACAAGCGTCACAGTTGGCGGTAGCCTCTTGCATGGCTGTAGCAGCCCAAGGACTCCAACAGGAGGAGCTGGGCACAACACACTGTGCATGCCATCCACAGCAGGCACACTATATACATGTATCTACGGAGTACAGCAGGACCATCGGATCATTGCAGGGACAACCGATGGATTTCTAAGGTTAGTTTGTACATACTGACTGAGAGTACTTCCCGATCAGGTGTCATCAGTGAGTGGTCACTTCGAAAAGAAAAAAGAAAAAAAACTTATGGGCCTGTCTCCATATCCATTCTGGGGAGCATCAGTCCGGTTCCTATTCCACTGGCAAGTCAGAAGTGATTACAATGGATATGCAGTATTACGCACGCGCATCCCCATTATGGTCAAGAAGCCGGAGTGGCCGGCATTGATTACTTCCCGAAGGAAGGATGCACCGTCCCTCACCCATGCCCAAGTTATCCCGATGATATACTTTTGACCTAGGGACCTTGGGTGCTAAACTGACTTGTAGTTTCACATTTTAGCTGTTTTTCGAATGGCATATGGGTTGGCAATGGTCCATGTGTGCTGCTGTGCCTTAAACCACCACTGCAGCAGCACCTGCGCTGTTTATTTTCCTTGTCATCAAGTACGGGGCCAACATTCTACAGTGCAATGAGGCCCGGTAGAGGTTCAGTGGGGAAGGGTACTGCAACAGTCTGTCCTCACCGCCGCATTGTAGATTTTTTTTTATTTTTATTTTTATTTTTGGACCATTTCTTGATTTATGCATGTCATCCTTGCGCAGGGGCCATGCTAATCTTTTCTGTATCGTTCCAATTTCAACGGATGTCCATTTTGGTTTGTCAAAACATGTCCGGATGGAGTGGTGGTTTAACTTCACACAATGAAAATGCATTTTTCGTCATCAAGCGGTCTGGAATATTGTTTGTAGTACTTTGTACCAGTTCCTTCAAAGCATTTTTTTCATCTTTTTGTAACGCGCCACCTTGCAAATTCAATATGTTTTGCTGTATATGAAGCTTATATGCTAAGTAAAGTTTCAGCCGCCAGTTCACATGACCCTAAGTTGACTAAGCTACCTTCCAAGGCTCATGAGGCTGCAACTGCGTCATTTCAAAGTGGCCTGCCGCTTGCACTTCCGACCCAGGCCCGAACCCAAGTGCGCTTACCGAATAAACCAGTAAGAGCACTACGAAGGTAAGTTAGGCTCGTGTGAACTGGTGGTTGACGCACCAGCTGTAACAAAATGTATCCACAAGTTTCGAATGAACAGCGGTACCGGATCAAAATGGAGGGTGCGGCCAGCCAAAGCAAAGAAAAGTCACGTCCGCGACTCCACAACGGTTGTATTTTTGTTTGTTTGTTGCACAGCGTTTTGGAGGCCCGTGAAAAACAGCGGCGGACGTACTGGTGGTTTAATAGACCGGAAAACTGTAAGAACAAAAACTAGCGAAAGATACCAAGGTTTTCAGCAACAGTTTGCGGGCTCCCAATTATTCTCTCGTGCTTTTTCACCCTGTTCCGTCCCTCTCTGGGGAACAGCCAGACCATCCGATCTGGCTTTGCACTGGCATCCTGTAGCTGGATGCCGTTTGGCTGCTTCGTTTACTTCCGGTCTGCTGTTTCATTTAAGAGACGATGACCCTTGCGTTTTCTAAGTTATTTCTCCAGAAAGTGAGGAAGGGACTGCCACCTCTGGCCGGCCGCGTTGTCTTCGTTTCATTGTACCCCCCGACATCGGCCGAGTGACATCGGCCGAAATTCGTCGGGGCTTCCTCAGGGGACGCACAGGGAAAGCTCTTAATTTTCTTCTCTGTGTTCATGATGAGACTACCTTCTTCCCCCGAATAGAACGTATGGTCATTACCGCTGTGCTCGGGGTATCTTTCAGTCTAAATACAGCTATAATGACCGTAGGGCGTACGTTGTATTCAGGGTAAGAAGGTAGGAGAGAAAAAAAGGCAATTGCCTTTTGTTGGAATTGCTGCTCTGCTGTGTTTTGCTTTTGCTGCCATTGTCAATTTGCTTCTTGAATATTTGGGCACCTGATCCTAAGAGTCTTCACCACGAAGGTTATCTCGTGCAACGAAATTGTGAAATGCTACAGAAGGAGAGAAAGAGATTGAGTAATAGCAAAAAAAAAGTAGCGTAAAATGGACAGAGTATGGCTGTAGGAGTCAAGGTTAAACGAGCCTATCAGAGCAGATGATAACTTTGATAATTTTATTCAATTTATTCAATTTTACTTTTTTATTGCCATCTGAAATTTGCTTTTCGAGACTGTTGCATGTGTTGTTTTTGCACTTGCCTGTGATTACTGGCTGGGCTTGAGGACACTATAGCCGTACAAGTTATAGCACGCATATGCTGAGCCTCTTCGAGATGAGCCAGGGAGGTCCTACGAAAGGTGGGGGGGGGGTGAACGGTAACAGCCCTGCGAAAGGGTGGAATCCGGCCTATGTTCTTGCGGGGGGGG